CCTCTCTCCCCCTCCCCCCCACTCTGTCGCCCTCTCCCGGTACCAGCTGGACTGTCATCCTTACTTGGGTTTTGGTGAAAACACGCATAAAACACCCAAGATGCCTTGGTCGTGGCGACCGTGCTTCACAGCAGATCCCGGACCTGCGTTTCCCCTCCTGACAAGGAAGGATGTTGGGAGCAGGAGCCCCAAAGTCCCTAACACCTTCTGGGTCCTCCGTCTGGTGGGTCACTCCTGCCGTATCTTCATGTTCGTAGCCAAAGACGCGATTTCCCCGCTCGCAGGAGCCTCTGGCAGGCGGCACGGAGAAGAGCAGAATGCGAAGCACAGACGTCCACGGCGTGGCATTTCTCTGACAGGTTTCGTGGCCTGTAGAATTAGAGCTGATGGCGGACACTGCTTTACCTTCCTGTGGCCGGAATTTACTTAGGCCACATGCTCCCCATTCACGTGTTAAACATAAAACCAGAGGCAAAAACAGCGTTCGCCCGTCTCTCACGGGCGGGTTAAGAGTGACCCGTCTGGGGAACTGGTCTCGGCGTCACTGGCCGTTTCGTTGTTTGCTGACCGTGAGGGTTTTAGCGTGAAAGCCAGCGCCGTCGGCAGCAACGTCTTCAGCCGTGACGGCCAGCGGTGTAGTATTCAGCGCTGTGCACAGCAGTCAGCGTCGTTGCCTCCTGTGACGGTCAGAGGAGACGGCGAATCGCAAAGCCGTGGTCACTTCAGCGCCTGTCTGGGTAGCTGCCGGTAGGAGGATTTTTCACCTTGAGAAGCTGGCGACGGTGACAGTGGCCGAGCTGTGCAGGGCCGTCAGTCACCTCTGTGTCCGTGTGTGGATTAGAGCTCACGCGTCACACAGTCACAGCGCCCAGCCGCCGTCTTGGCGGTGGGTGCTCCAGGGAAGAACCTGTCCTCATCCCCCAGCCCCCACCCGTCCCGTGCTCGAATGGCTGCAGGAAGGAGGGGGACGGGCCCCGGGGGACGGGCCGAGGGGGATGCTGCAGAAAGCCGTCCTCGTTCTTGCGTCGAATTCAACACTGTTTTGAGTTTCTGCTGGGAGCCGGGCATTGTTTCAGGGGTTGGGGGCACTGGCGTGAACAGGGCAGAAGCTGTGCCCTGCTCGGGGGTGCGGGGAGGGGACAGACAAGAAGGAAGGAAAGCTACACGATATAGCCAGAGCCAGGGGAGCTGGCGCTGAGAAGGGAAGGCAGAGTGAGGCGGTGGAGACTGCCGGCCGGGGCGGGCGGTGCTGGTCTGGACGAGGCTTCAGGTCACCTGGGGCCCGTCGGCCTCCTCGTCAGTCAGATCCGGGGGAGCCCCGGGGGAGGCCGGTCCGGACGGCGGCTGGGTCCCTCCACTGCAGAAGCCGGCGAGTGTGCCTGGGGCGGAGCGGGCCGGGAGAGGATGGGACAGGGATGGGACAGTGGCCCAGTCCCGTGAGGCCTGTCGGTTACGGCGAGGCCATCCGTCAGCTTTTGTTTTGAGTGAGCTAGGAGGCCGCGGAGGTTTTGGCATGGAGCAGGGGCAGCACCCGGCGCTAAGGGAGCTTTCCCAGCGCGTTGCAGGCTGGGGAAGGGACACGGGGCGGACAGGGACGGGTCTGCGCCTTCCACCACGGTGGCCACCAGCTGCGGTGGCTCTCAACGTAAACGAATCGTGAGAAATCGAGGTGATTGACTTAACATACACAGCAAATTAATGTAATTAAGGTGAATTAATTAACATTCTAAAAAGTTAAAATTTCACATCCTGCATCGCACAGCCCGCACAGCCCACGTTTCAAGTGCTCGGTAGCCACATGTAGCTGGCGGCAGCTGCATGGGGACAGTGAGTGTAGGTCATTTGCCTCGTCACAGGAAGCCCTACTGGATGGGCCGACGAGTCTCGAGGGCCTTTGTGGGGACTTTGGCTGTTACTCGGGGTAAGTGGAAGCCTCTGGGAGGTGAAGGCACAGGAGGGACATGCTCCGAGTTATGACTGCAGAAGGCCCCTTGGGCTGCCGTGTTGAGGACAAACTGTGCGGGGCAGGGTTGGCAGCTGGGGACCATCCGTCATCTCCGTGAGAGGTGACTGTGTCTTGGACGAGGTGGGCGCCGAGCGGCCCATGAGAAATGCTTGGATTTTGAATGTTTTGAAGACAGAATCAGTAGGCTGATGTGTGGTTTGGGACATGAGAAATGCGTGTGGGTGGTGACGGGGACAGGAGGCAGAGCTCGGGAGGGGACCCCCTTCTCATCCAGGCTCATCCAGCGGGAGCATGGGCTGGGCGGGGGCGGGGGCAGGACCAGGGCGGTCCACGGAGCCCTCACGGGGAAAGACCAGCAGGCAGCCATCAAGTCACCTCGGGCAGAGGGAGGGAAGGTGTGGCGGAAGTTTAAGGTGGAGAGGGTCTCTAAGCATTTAAAAGAGGAACGAAGTGCAATGGCTGTTAGTCAGTGTCAAGGGCCCATTCAGAATGGGTGACCTTGACCTTCTGCAGCGGAGAGCGCGGCTCACGTGCAGGCTGATGCAGGGGTGGGGAGAGGTGGGAGTCCACATGCCTTCCTGGACGGATCTGTGGGAAACACGGGGATGCGGGGGGGACAGGGACGTCAGGAAGGGCTCGTGGCAGATCACGGAGACTAAGCTGCCTGCGGAGGACGGTGAAGAGCAGAGGTCGGCGCACGGGTTGAAAGCACAGGGCTCCGAGCGTGGGGGCGGGCACGTCACTAAGAACTGTGGAGCACCGAACACCGGGGGAGTCCGAACGGGAGACGGTCGAGTCGCTCATTTCGCGGGTGGTGACAAGACCAGGGCTTCGAAACCCGTGCCGATGCACCTTCGTGAGACGCTGCCTTGCTGAGTCCCACGTCTGTCCGACACCGTCTCACTGTGGGTCATGTCTGAGCAGGTTTGGTCACCAGGAGGAGGGGTTGGGGAGCCAGCTGGCAGCGTAAAGTGGGCCTGGAGGACGTGAACTTAAAGTTCCTCCTGTCTGTACTCGGTGACTTGATGGCCGCCTGCTCGTCTTTCCCCACACGCTGACCTTCAGTGCCTCTTGGAATACTGAGCTCTTGGAAAACTGCCTTCTGGATCACACGACGCAGTCTCGAACACGTAGTCATGTGAGTGGCTGTGACAGTGACCGTGTACCCGCGGCGTCTGGGTCCTGGGACCTCTCCCCGGCCCTTCAGCCTCCCCGGCTAACAGGCATATTCTCTCTCTCTCTCTCTCTCTCTCTCTCTCTCTCTCTCTCTCTGTCTCTGTCTGTCTCTCTCTCCCCCCCTCCCTCTCTCTCTCCTCTCTCTCCCTCTCTCTCTCTCTCCTGTGGGCAGGCGCCTGCAGCAGCATGACGGGGGCTCTTGCTGTCGGAATCAGGGATTTGGGGGGACCTGTCCTCCCTGTGAACACTCGAGCACTTTGTTGATCTGTGTCGAGGTGAGATTTGAGATTCCAGGAGGCAGAGCTGCCCCTTCTCCCTCTCCCCCGCCCCCCCATCCCACCTCCCTCTCCAGGGCGGAGGGAGAATTAAGAACAATGGAAGGTGAATTTTTAACAGGACGGGCTAGCTTGAGCTGTGTAGGCTTGACCGATGAACTATGTGGCTGCTTTTAGCTAAAATAACTGTGTTGTTTGCAGGAGTTTTTCTCCTGTGAGTTTTCCAGAGTCATTAGAATGACCTAACTGCCTCACCTGCTGTTTGAACTGGTAGGGACAGAAAACAAAAAGGGTGTTGAAATGCAAACAGACAGTCCTGGGTTCCAGTCCCCTGGCCCTGAGATAAAGCCAACACAGACCTCAAGGTCTCCACGGAGGTCTGTACAGAGGCTCCAGAAAAATCTCTCAAGGCGTATTTCTTTTCATGGGTCGGAGTCCCGAGGTAGGTGAGGAAAACAAAAACAAAATAAAACAAACAAAGGATTTCATACTTGGAATTTGCTCGGTGCCAGTTGAATAGCTAATTGTTTCTTGTTTTCATCCCCCTCCCCCCCTTTTCTGCCTGAATAGATAATCCTTACAAAACGTCTATTCATTCTACGAGTGAAAATTTCAGGAATACTGATACTGACCTTGGCAAGACTAATGGGCTGAGATCGAGTGATGGATTTGTGTGTGTTGTGGCTGACATACATTTTGGTGCGCTGGATGCCGGTTTAAGAATCTTTCAGCACTCGGAAAAGAAGATTTATGGCATTGTATTAGTGAATATAACGAAGGCTTACACTTAGAGATCAAATTATTAAAAGACAACATTATTTTTATAGCTTATTTTTTAGCACAAACTTGATTGTTTTTGTTGCTTCAAGAAAGGACCTGCCTTTCTTTTCTATTTCGGCGTGACCTCTTTAAAGGAGATGTAAACAACTATTTTTTAAGGGAAATAAAAGGAGGCAGTAGAGCCTAGCTAAAAGGACACGCTAGACGAGATTCTTAATTGCTAAATTAAGTTTGTGCTCTTATTTGATTTCTGCTATGAACTAGCTGTGTGACTTTGGGTAAGTTATTTAGCATTTTTTTAAAAAAATGATCATATTAGAATAAGAAATATGTGATAGTGAAAAAAGATATTTCTGAAAGCATTTTAAAGTCCCATAGGAAAAGCACAATCAGAAACCAGCACTGCAACTTTATTCTGGTAGAATAACCTCTTGAGTCCCATACACACAGTCCCTAACTGTTGGCTTTATAAGGTCAGTCCCAGCAGACCGGCCTGTGGCGGTCAGGAGCTCAGCGGGTCCAAGAAAGCGCTAATTCCAACAAACGCAAAACAGCAAATAGTGTAAACAGTAGATGGATTCGAATGCAGCCGGGGCTGAGCAGAGGGCTCTAAAACACTCCCCAGCAAAGTGACGGTGACTGTGGAGACGGCTGGGCTGTGGCCGTGGAGCTCGGCTTCGTCTCGTGGAAAGAGCAAAGGTTGGAGAGTGGAATCTCTTAAATCCAGACATTCTCG